AAAAGATATTAGAGAAGACATTTGAGTGATCACAGTTTAAATTACATGATACTTAAAAAGAGAGCTGTTACGCTTGTTATTCTGATTATAGCAAGAATCTCATGGAATTCTGAGAGAATCACAGAATATGGTCTCTATCACAAGGGAACATCTTTACCTTTTTCCATTAGCAGCCTAACAAATGGTGTCTCTGAGATGCTGCCAACATCATGACATGTCTTCCTAAAATTACATGATCTCATTGCAAACAGTTTAGATTTGGTACAAAATCTCATGGTTCTGGTCCCTGTTCTGTCACTGCATTTTATTCTGTGACTCCACATATGCAAACCATCCTTCCCTCCACAAGCACAAACCAGCACTGGATTAGTGGTTGCTCATTGAATCAGTAAACAGGCCAGTGGAAATCCTGGTTTGGTCATTTATATTTTGTCAATCACCAGCAACTGAACACATGTTTTAAAAGGTAGATGTGGCAAGAATGAGAATCAATTCAGCTAAATTATGAATTTTACTAAAATTAATCATATAAACTAGCTTAAACTATCACTTAATTATATTGATAAGAATGGAGAAAAAAGGAGATTCATCAAGATGGTAGGCCCAAAATAGGCTAATGCCCTGATGTTACCTTTTCTCCCAATAATAGTGGTTTTTCAAACTGTCATGAGGTCCATCCAACCAGAGAAAAAACTCCAAGTACCTGTAAAAGGAGAAATAATTTGGGCACATAATTTGCTGTTTTACAAGAGGTCAGCTTGATACCTCTTCCATGATCCACTAATGACCCTGTGTAAAGATCCAGCATAAAAACACCTGAAAATCACTGACTTGTAGGATCTGCACTTAAACCAGCTATTTCCCCTCCAGAAGAGAAGAATTTTTTCAGAATGTCTCAAAGAAATGAACATCTTTTTTAAGAGCTCCTTTTTTTTGATGCTGTGTCCAAAACAGAAACTTTCTCACTTTTTACATGTCCTTAATAGGCTCATTGTAAACTTGTAAAATATTTACAGAGACAAGACAAGCAGATCGAGCTTTCAGGATGTTCTGGACAAGCCATGAATGACCAGGTTTTTTACTCAGCGGCAAGGCAGATTAGATTATAATATTATATTCTATCTAAGGAAAGGTGCTGAGGGGAATTGAGAGCCAGAACTTGACTGTTCCCACACAAACCTGCCATTTCAAGCCCATAAATATGGTAGAAAAATAAAATACAATAGCACCTATTAGACAATAAATTGTTTATAAGTCACAGCAACTCCCACAGGGCCAGAAATTTTCACAAAATCATTGAAAGTGTCACTGTCATACTTCCTCTGTATCAGTGAAGATTACACACACTGTGCTAGTCTGATTACTTTTGAGTATTCCTACTCCTCATAGGAATACTCATAGGAGTATTCCTACTCCTCCTCTTTAGCTTATTGCCTGTTAAAGCAGTAAATTAGTCATAGATTTTTATTGATGTAGTATTGTTTAACCCTTGTAGAGATGAGCAGATGCTTTGGAAGGCACCTATTCATGGCAAAGTTAATAATTTGCTTTAGAGTTACTTTCATTTCTGTCGGTGAGGCTTTGAGATTTTGAGTGGATTGAAACACATATTTGGCCACCAATTTATATATGCACTATTTGGCATTCCAGCTCTTGATTTTGTAAGCAGTAAAAATATTTAGGGATTAGTATTTTTTTTACACCAACAGATTATAAGAGAAAAAGAGTTACACACTGGCTTTCGGTTCATAGCAGCTCCTCTGTGGCATTTTCAGTGCAGAAGCACAGCTTCACTGAACAGATCCACCCACAGCTTTCTCCCAGGAATTTTTTACCCTTTCTCTCAGGACTGGGCTCCTGACATAAACTATTGTGACAATGCTCTTTGGACTTATCTGGTAACATAATGGGCAAGTTCCTTAGAGGCCTTTCTCAGCTAAGGGAGGGATCCTCTGCAGGTCAAGAATGCCTCACTTTGACTAATGACATGGCAGGGAAATGCAGAAAAGCCTTCCAACACTCTTTGAGGTTACTAAGTGTTTATATTGCCTTGGGAACAGTAGGGCCTCTTCCCACCTGAAATTTACCACAGAGCACCACTCCAGAGAAGTGAAAGATTTACTTATTCAAATGAAGTCAGCAGTCGTATTGCTGCTGTTCTCTCCAAGACATTCTTGGATGTCTTCAGGGCACAAAACTGCAAAGAATAAACTCTGCAAGTATTCTTAAATGGAGCAACCTGTCTTTCAGAGAAGCCTCTGAACAGGCATGTGTCACAAACAATAATTTTACATGCTCCACTTTACCTTAGTTGTCAAAAAACAATTTCCTCAAAACTAAGACTGTAGTTTGGTTTTGGAATAAACACACTTGAAAAAAATCTTTTATTTTTCCAATACATGCAGCTTAATCAAGACATCCAATAGGAAAAAAAATTAAGTTGAAAATCATAGCAGCATTCTTATCAACACTGGAATTGGTTAAAATGGTATGCAAACTGGTATTTGCAAATGCTTCAATACAATGAATTCAAAATTTTCTTTTAGTCCAACAAGCTTCAACATTGAAATCTGCCTAATACATTACTCTGTTAATGCAATACTTAATGATTTTTATACTTTTTACTGATACTTCCCAAAAAGAAATAAATGCATCCCTGTATTGGCCTCTCATTGCTTTTTTAACATTTCTATGTTCTAAAAGATGACTGCAAGGTAGGATGATAAGTTCAATGGTCAAATGTCTCCTATTTTCTCACAAAAGAATACCTCCATGCCTACCATTCCTTTGCCCAGATGTTGGGCTAAGATATTAAATAAAGATTTTACCAGTGTTCTATGATATATATTGTAATCTATGTAACTCTTTTAATGAAAAATAAAAAGTATTTTAATGAAAATCAGTAATTAAAAAATGATCCAACATCTATTTACTCTCTAAGAAATAAGGTTTTTCATTTCTGCATAATGGATCACCACTCACTTCTGCTTAGATGGATGGAGGCCTTGCCATCAAAATATGAACTTTGCCTTTTTCAGGCTTTCCTGTCAAAAAATAAAAAAAAAAAATTTTTTTTAATGATCTATTGTATGCAAGCAGATTAACACTTGTTCTGTTATGATTGATGGTGATCAAATAAATAAAAAAAAAAAAAAAAAAAAAAAAAAAAAAAAGATGATAGAGATTATCTAACTGATTTATTCCTAATGAATCCAAAGAAGAAAAAATTGAGAGTGAAGTTATTCAGGGAAATTGTCATTAAAAAATGATTTTTTTTCTTCTAAGCTAAGAGCCCCAGAATTTATCTTCCTAATGGTCAAGGTCAAGCTTTGAAAGATTTCTGTGGCCAGATATCATGCAATTTTAATTATGTGTACATTTTAAGGCAGATCTAGTCAAAAATACAAACAATTCCACTAAAAACCTACATTAAATTCTGTTGAAATGGAGTAGTAGTCAGATCCTTAACCTGGGGACAGAATGTTTTTCCATTGAAAATTAAAGGTGTTTCTGTTACATTCCTGTTGCTTCTAGTGTAACATTATCTCTGGTGAAACTGTGGGAGGTATTGTTATAGCAACAGGTGTTGATGTTATAAATCATAAGCTGTCTAAGAAATAAGGATGAAATTTTCAGCCAAAGCGGAGACCTAATGTATGAAATGTCTTTAAGACATGTTTAATGGGGAGAGAAAAAGACTTGCTATGTGACTTTTATCTGCACCATGTGAGCTTTGGCCTAGTGGCACCTCTCTGAGTTTTCAAAGCAGGATATACCCTTGTGAACATCTCTTCTTAAGGAAATTGATGTGCCTTCCACATTTTTTGCCAAATAAATCACCCAGGGCAATGCTAAGAGACTCAATATTGCTGAGTTCCTTAACAAGACGCCAGATCAACACGACAGCATGATCTGTAACTTGGCTACAAAAAGGACAATGGCAATATTGAAACAAACCCAGAGGGGGAAAATGTAGTGATTTATGCAGGCCAACACTCATTTGAAGAAAGGAAGGAAGGAAAAGTAACTGAGCTGTAGGGCTCTGATAAACTCAAAAGGACGAAACAGAAAAAAATACATAAAATAAAAGTGAAGAAAATATAGAGATTTGTATAACTGCACAAAGTCTGTGTTAAATTTCGCAAATAAGAGATTAGACAAGATAAACTTACATCCTGTACTTTAGATTTTGATTATAAATAAGTTTATTTGAACTTTATTTCCATTGTCCATGAACAATTTTTTATAATCATTTCAATTTCACTATTGACTTAACATTCCTAGTTCAGACATATCATTTCTTATGACATATTGCCATCACATGCTTTGATAAATGACATTTCAAAAATTTTATAATATGTGAGATGCATCCTGCAAACTGTAGATCTTTTCTTTAAATTAAATTTTTAAAAATCTCATTTTGGCACATGCAGAATGGTGTAAAAACATCCAAAACCTTTTTAAAAAGCTCTTTTAATCTCTAACCTAGAGATACTTGACTAGTGTCTATAGTGTGTGGGGTATTTTTTTTTTACAGACAATTTATTTTCTTCCCCATATAAACAAAAAGTAATTGAACCACAAAAAAAAACTGAATAAAATAAGGTGAAAGCTGTATTTTTTTTTTTTTCATGTTCTGGGACTATCTCCTGCAAATACTAGAGTATTAAAGCGGTACATCTGGGAAAGGAATGAGAAAGGGAGTTTTTATTGTTTGTGGTTTTTTTTTTTTCCCGTACACTTGAGTCTAAAAATTAACTATGACATTATTGCAATATCTCAGAAAAAAATCTAGAATAATTGTTTTTACAGTATTATAGGTCTGGAAATAAATCAAAGTTCAGAAAAGTTTTCCAAGTAAAAACTTTTACTTCTTGTTGCAACTGGAAATTCTATAAAGTTCTATAAAGCTATCAACCCTGTCCTCTACTCCCGAAATTACCTATCTTAAAAAATCAGACAAGTAGTGTAGTTTGATTAGGTACCTAGAAATATCAACAGAAGAGCCTTGATAATTCCACACAGAATTAGAAAAATATCCTCTTTCATAATCAGGATTCTAACCAACATTGTTTCCATGTTTACAAGATATTTGCATTTAATTGAAAAGAACATCATATTTTGGCTATTGCAATGAAAGTTTAAGGGTCACAGCCTCACCAGATATACATTATTCTATGAAGCTCAGCTGGCTTCAAATAGATCATACAAAAATTCTAAACTGCATTGATGAAAGCCAGGTTAAGCTCCGAGAATCCATGCTCTGAACATATTCCTTGCAGGATGATCTCTGCTTCTCATGAACACACAGGACCTCCCCATTTGTGGGAATTCAGCACATCCCTCCAGATGTCCAGAGTTGCCGAAAAGCCTCTTGGGGAGCTCAGAAGTCCTGGAATGTTGCCAGAAGCACCTGGTGGCTTGACTTTGATCCATCTAGGGATGTGCCACCTGTGTATGAGGACATGAGAGACACTCGGGTTTGATTGGTGCAGGAATGATACATTTACAGGGTGAAAATATAGATCTTAGAGTTTTTGGTATAAAGGGTAATGGGGACAAGATGGAGGAATCAGGGCGTGTCTCGTCCTTCTTCTTTCTTCTTGTCATCCATTTTCTGTGATGATGTTGGCACTTGGGGATTGGTTTAGAGCAGAAGTGCACTGTCTAACATAGGTGATAGGTATTTGGACATAAAAGTAAATATGATATATGTAGTTTGTAGTATATAAATATGACACCACCTCGGAGGCGGTCAGAGTGCTTTTGGCTGCCTTGCTGTTCAGACCTCAGCTGGGCAGAAAGAAAAACTTTGTAGATAAGAAATAATAAACAACCTGAAGATTAAAAACTGAAGAATCCAGTCTCATCCTTCAAAGCTCAGGCTGCTCAGAACCATCCCACGCTCCTCGGGGCAGAGACAGACAGCAGGTCTTGAGACCCACTCAGGGTGGAAAAGTAGAATGCACATAATTTGACATGGGTCAAGTCCCACTCTCACTGAAAAAGAGGTTAATCAGACCAGAATTTCAACCTATGAGCCCGGCTTAGATATCTGCTGAGATAGGCTGCCATACCACGTCCTGCTCTTGCCAGATGCCACTGGGATGGATTCAAAAATTAACCAGAACCACCTAACAAAATGGCAAAGTCTATTGTGCTTTTCTTTCATTGCAGTTTAGACTGCTCATTTATCTTTTTTCCTATTTTTATCATGTCTTCTGTTTTACATATGGAACTTCCCAGGCAATAAATAAAGACTGTCCTGTGAATAGTACCCATCATGTTTATCCTGGGTGATGTACCCTACACAGGGGATAAAACTGCATATATGATTTGCCCATACAACATGCAAGGTATGCAATGGAATAAGAGGTAAGATTGAATGGAGAGAGAAAAGGACCATGTGGAAGCTATGGATGACCCTTCAGCATTTGCAGAAATCAGGCAAATTTCTGACTTGACCTGAGCATCACCAATAAGTTTATGGAAACTGCTCACTAAACAGCTGCTTCTGCTTCTTTCTGGCTAGGTAAAAATATCTCCTCTCTCCTAATACATACTATACCAAGTCAGATCTGCTGCACCATGGTTTAAATTCTCATTCATGCCTAAACTCAAAACCTGTTTGAGATCATTCTAGTAAAGCAAATTAAGTTTCCAAGGCCACACACAGTCAGTCTATCCATGAAAATATGTGAATAAAAGCTGAGTCAATGACTGATGTCTTCGTGACAATTTGTATAATGTTATTCCTGATGTGTTACTGAACAGTTTTACATTTAAGAAAATTTGCTTTTGACAGCAATATTTCAAATCTACTAAAGAGCTGATTACAATACTTAATATTTCCTTAAATTTGAAAATAATTCTAAGTAGAAGACAATAATTAAAGACATGTTTTATTGCACAGACTTAACAATGAATTAGATACAAACCTGTAATATTAACAGTGTAGGAGTTAATGAAATTCAGTCACAGGAAAAGATGAGAGAGCACAAAAAAAGGCACATTCTTCTATCTATTTTGTTATAGGGAGCATAAGGGAATGAAAAGCTTACTCTTTTGAGTGAGAGTAGGTTGTTAGAGGAAAGACAACTTCCTGCAATTTCACCAGAGACAACAAATCAGAGAAGAAGCTGCTAGAGAGCTTTCTGTAACAATAGTGAGAACAAAAGAAAAAAATCTGTGAAGACAAAGATAAGATTCAACCAAATACTTCACTCCAAACTTTCTTACCAAAAGCTTTGTGACACCAGCAATATGGATGTTGAAGAAAATATGCCTTCATTAAAAAAATAAAAAAGCTTTCATTCTTCAATGCTTTTCACATGAAAGCTTGCCAAATTTTTCTCAGAGAGGATTTTCGCCCAGACAAATGGAATTTCTCTTTCTTCGTTAGTCAAGCAACATTCCTAATGAATAAAATAGCAATCCATGTATTTCTAACACCTTTAATCATTTCAGTGGGCCAGAAAGTGTCTAATTCAGCATTTTTCACGTCTTTTTATTCACAGATTACAAGTAAAATTCCTTTCCTTCTTACAAGTTCCATTTCATTGTATATTTCAGTACTGTTCTAAATCTCCTGGTACCTGCTTTTATGTTCAGTGAATGATTTGTTTAATCAGTGCAGCTGAATTTCCTTTCAAGACATCCTTCTCTGACATTGCTCCAAGATAAAATGTGTCATAGAGGCTGTCACATACTATAGCAAATCTCTCAAAAATTATTGAAACATCAGCTGCCCAGAACTTCTCAATCACTTAAAATTCACTCACTAATTCTTCCAGTTTCCCATGGCTATTCACTCCTTCCTTCCCCTATGAGCAACATGGCCAGCTTCCAGATGTACTATCCAAGCACTTCCCAGTAGCCAGAGATACATTACAATATTTTGTATAGAACAGTGAGTGGAACAGTGACATACTAGACTCCATTCTATCACCTGTTCCATGAAATGAGACAAGGGTATTCATTCCAAGGAACCTACTCATGGCAAGACTTACACACCTATTTACTTTCAGGTATGGTAAGCCATCCCATTGGCTTGTCTAGTGCTCCCATGCATCAAATCAAGCCCATGTTAAAGCTCTTGAGAATCAGGGTTTCATAGCCGAGTTTAGGAAGGTGCAGGATATAATGGGCTCCTGCTTTAATAGGGTGGCAGGACAGATGTGCGGCCACTCTTCAGCTGCCCCAGTTCTTGATTCAGTGTCATAAAATGTGCATTTCTGCAAACTGTAAGCCTCAAGCCAAAAGAAACACAAAAGAATTATACTACTTCATTGAATGCAATATTTAGATGTGATAGAGGAATTGCTTTGCTCAGAAAAATAGATATTTGTATCATGGAGTGGAACATTCACACGCACACATATGTGTGGGAATATATATATATATGCATATATAAATATATATATTATAAATATGCAAATAGCAATATTAGGATATTAAGAAATTAAGAAATTAAGAAATTAAGATATTAAGATATTAAGATATTAAGATATTGTTACCTTTCTGCGTGCAGAAAGGCAACATAGATAAACAATTGAAAGCAATTACAAAATGTTTGTGTACTTCTTAGAAGCTAGAAGACCTTGTTTTGTGTACATTTGTGTGGATCCATGTAAAACTGCTGTAGATCAGTTGCTGCTCTCTTTCAATTAGATCATTTTAATATGAAAAAATTCTAACATTCCTCCCATTGTGGGAATTCAGCCCATCTGGGAAAAGTAGAATAGAATTGTGTCTGAAGTTTTTTGATTTAATATTTGATTTTGTGTTTTGCTACATACACATGAAGACTTACACACAGACTTACACACACAAAGCAATTTGGCTGGTTGTGTGTTTGTGTATTGTAATGTGCAAAAGCTCTCACTTTACTGTCATATAAATCCAGTACTTGAAGGTTACGTGCCTTGATTAATCACATCACCATTTCAGAGCTATTCACATAATTCAAAAATGCAGAAGAAATTGACTCTATAGTTGTTCTCCTCCTGCCACGGATCAGAGAGACTATGACTACAGGAAGAAGGAAATTAGTTGAATAAATAATTAAACAGGGCTCTGAAACTGAGAGCCAGTAGAATTAGAAGAGCATGAACCAAATTCAGCTGAATTTATGGCAATGTAAGCTCCTTGAAACACAGTTATCTCTGTGCCCTTTTTGAGAGCCCCAGAGGAAGAATAAACACATTTCACTACTTTGTTTTGCAAATAGAGGGAGGTGCTAGCTCACAAATAAGAAATAGATCTAAAAGGTCCATTTAAATTTGCTACAATAGAGGAAAGTATACATTATTATGAAGAGATCAAGACCATTCATCTTTCTCCAACACATTTTTGCAGATCCCTCCTAATTAAAAAAAGAATGTGAGATTCAAATGCTTTGATGATAATTCCTTATCTATCAAAGCTTGGGTCCCAGATTAGCCAAATCTCAGTGCCAGATGCCCAGCTGCTACAAATTCATGGAATTACCCTGATTTAAACATATCAACAAGATGGCCAATCCTTTTAAGTGAACAACTCAACTCCTTCTACCCAGAGGTTTGGGGTTTTTGCCTTCCTTCTTAGGAAAGGATTTTTGAAAAACAAAATGTGTGAAAGTTCTATGGTGAAATACAATTTAAAAGCACAAACTGGTGTTAAAGCCCCTCTAAACAGATAAAAAATCTCAAGTCTCTTATGCAGTTCATAAGTTTGTACTCAGAATAATAGTGTTAGGCTTCTCTCAAATATAGAGTTATGTATGTTTCTACAAGTAAGAGATGGAAAATAATAGTTGGAAAGTCTCTCTGTCAGCTTTGCAGTTTACCATCAGTGTATCTTTCAACAACTGAAGCAACAGGTTTCAATTTTTTTATTTTGCTTTAGAGTCACACCTTAGTTTTGTGAATGGCATATAATATTTCTACTTCAATCATCAGAATTACTTCAGGAGTTCAATTTGAAGTTGAAGCTTGACACTGACACTGTCTAGGAAATTCCATCAGAGCAACCAAAACCAACCAAAAAAACAGTTTCATCTAAGTGGAGGTGGTACCTCTCATAGTGGAAAAGCAATTAATTTTGAATGTCTGCCAAAGCTATGAAGAAAAAGGAATTTCCCTGCCCTGGAACCTCCTATCTAGAAGTGCACAGACAGGTAACAGAAAAAACAATGTGTCACCAAAAGTTTTAGGTTTAGACTAAAAACAGAAACTGAAAACAGAAAGAAAACCAAAATATTTTCTAGAGAGAAGAAAGTAAATATGATAGAGTTGATCCAGGAGGGTTGTGGTACTAGTTACTAGTTTTTCAGTTTGCATAATGACATTATAAGTTCTTGCTGCTGCAACAAACATATCGGGAAATGGTTTTTCATTTAGAGGTTCTGCCAAATCCCAAGCCACAAATACAAAAACTGTTTTGTCATTTCTTCAAATCAAAAGTGTTTGACA